TGGACGACTCTTTCCCCAACTATCCCATGCCCTCCCTAAGGACGACTGTACGTAGCCCAGACTACCAGCCCCAGCCAGCTACCCTCAAGATCCTGTGCTGTAAAGACTTTCTAAGGTTCAGATTCACATCTTTCTGTGCTCTGACCTCAGTTGAGGAGTCTCAGGGGTAGTGGTAGTAGCTGGCACTTACTCTGTGCCAGCATCATTCTAATCACTTTCACATGTATTTCTTATTTAATCCTCCCTTCCTAAGAGGTAGGTACTATTATCATCTCCATTTTACAGATGCGGAAACTGAAGCACAAACAGGTTAAGTAACTTGTACAGAGTCTCACGAATAGTAAGTGGTGGTACCCAGGCCATCTGGCTCCAGAAGTCTGGAGTGTAGAAGTAGCCAGGGATTGCTGGATGCTCCACCTACTTCCTGCAGATGGACAGGATGACCTGGCCAGCGAGGCTGCAACTCCCTCTCCCGCTCTCCCTGTGACTGTTGGAACAACAACTTGGCCCCAGTGTCGGGAGACGACCCAGCTCGAGCCACTATATTTATCTGGGGGAGGCGACAGAGGCTAGGAGAATTAGGGACAGGAAGAAGCCCAGAAAGGCCTGCCGACTCTGTCCTGACTTCTTAGGATCATGAGCACTGCTCCCTTCTCTCAGGAGAGCAGAACTGTCCCCCTGCCACCAGCTGCCACTCCTCACGATGGTGCGCGTCTGCTTCTGCAGTGAGGGAGGGGAGCTGACGGCGTCTGTAGGGTAGGTAGTTTTACTTTCAGTTTTATGGCATTAAATAATACTGAATCACATAGAGAGAAGGTTATTCCCTTTTCGATTCTCTTTCAGTCCTGATTACATCAAAGAGAAAGTCCCAGTTTGATGCCAATATGTCTTCAAAGCATCTGTTACTTGCTAAGCTCTTTTTTTTTCCTTTCTTGCAAGGTACAGCCGGCTTAGAGCCTTCCCCAGGCTATAGTTTCCAACTAAAATTTACCTTATTTGGTTTTCCTATTATGTACTTTTATGGTTTTGTTCTATTTATGGCAAGTGATACTGGCTTTCCATTTATGGCAGTGATATAAAGTTTCCTTCAAAAATCTATTTACTTAAGTAAATGAATAGATTTCAAGAAAGTACATATGGTGATAGGCAGACACTGTAGAAATCCCCAGAGTGATGAACAAATGACTGAAGGTCAGGAAACATCATCATAGAATTACCCTTCAGATGCGAGTGGTCAGCCTTGCTGAGACCATGGCACCCAGCCTGCCCAGGGCTCAGATAGAGGGGGTGTGTGGGTTTGTGGTCCCACAGTAAGTGAACAGCAGAAGCAGGACTTGACCTTCGGTCTGCATGGGAAATAAGATCCTATGTAGAAAGGTTAGGGGACTAGGCTGGCTTGGTCAGAGCAGAGCAACTTCAGTACTGAATTCCTGATGGGCACAATGGTGGCCCATGTCTTTCTGGGGATGGTCAGCCAAAGAAAATATGCTGAATGTTAAGATCAGTTGCAAGAAGGACCCCAATGAGTCCAGCAAACTCTGGGCCCAGCTTGCCTCGAAGCTGCAAAGTCCCCATCTCTGGGGACTTTAGGAGGAGAATCTACAGGCCCTTCCATGGATATTTCACACTAAGTGCCTAGAGGGGACTGGGCCCAGCATGCAAACCTTCAGACTTCCAGGGTTCCAGAGAGTCCTATCCCAGGGAAACCAGTCAATGCCTTCCCATGCTCAGGGCACTCCGCCAGACCCTACAGACAGCAAGGAGCTCAGATGGTGAGCCGATGGCATGCGGTCTCCAAAAGCCAAGAGGCAGGATCATACTACACAGCGTTCACCAGGTGCCAGGCACCGGGTTAAGTGTGCACTGACTTCACAGCAGCCCTCTGAGGGAGGTGCTATCATCACCCCTATTGGAGAAATGAGAGAACTTGCTCAGGGATGCTGAATAACCTGCCCAAAGCCACAGACAGCCTAAGGCCATCTTGGGATTTGAGCGTAGGTCTTGACTGACCCCCCAGGCCAGACTGCTAAGTACCAAGGCTGTACGGGAATGCAGGCATGCAGGGCACACAACTCCAGGTCTCTCACTTCACCGTTCCCACACAGGCTGGCCTCAGGAAGGCCTTGGGCGTGCCAGTGCTGCTGCTAAGGGGAACTGAGGGTCCATCAGAAGCTGTACCGTGGATGTCTAGTTAATCCTCCCCTGGTAAGGCCAGACTGCTCCTGGATGAACAGTTGGCTTAAAACCTGGGGCCTCAAACTCAGTCTGTGGGCTTGGTCAATGCTGGTTGAGAGGGGCACAGCCGGTAGACCCGATGGGCACCGAGGACCGTTTCCTTCCTCTCTTCTTCCCCTCTGTCTGCTTGGACTAAGATCCCATGTGTGTGTGCGTGTAGGAAGATAGCCTCTTTCAGCCTCCCAGCCACGTACCTCCCACCTGGGCCACCCTCTCCTGGGGAGATTAGACCCCAGCAAGGAACATTTGCCCTGCTTGGGGGAAAGCAGGAGCAACCAGCCCTGCTCAGCAAGGGGCTCCCCAGTATTGCTGGGTGCCCCGGCATTGAGTAGATGCCTCCTTAGGCCCGTGGGCTGGCCTCAAGCCTGCTTCTCTCCATCCCAAGGCCTCTGGGCAGAGGATTGTGGATTTCCTAAGAGCTGATCATTGATGTATCAGAAGCTTGCACCACTGGGTTACTCAACAAGGTCCTGCAACCCTGTTTACTAGGAGGGGAAGATGGACTCTCCCCTCCCTGGCCCCAGTGTGCCTCAGTGGGCTAGCACCAGAATCTGGGACTCCTGGGTCAGCCTGTGAGGACGTGGCAAAGTCAGTAACTTCCACAGGTCCTAGGGATGCCAAAAGGAAAAGGAGAGGCTCTCCCACCCTTGGGGTCTGCTGGGTCCTGGCTCCCTATGTGCCTCCTCAACCCATCTCATCCTGAGTCAGGCCCAGGAAAGGGCCACCTGCAACTTTTCCTGGGCTCCTGAGCGCCATGCTCACCACCACCATTCTCCATGGTGTGGGCCCAGCCCCAAGAGCTAGAGAACAGGTCTGCACCAGCCACTTCCATCTCACCTTCCAAAAGCGTAAAGGCTTTGTTTAACCTTGAGCAATCCTGCCCAGGGCAGCCGGGCACCTCAGCACACTGGTGAGCGGGTCTTTCCTATTCACGGACCCTCTTGGCCATACCTGCAACCAGGCCTCCCCATCTTTTGTCCCCCTTGCTGCACACTGTACTGGAGAATAGGATGTACATTGATTAGTATACCCATATTACAGTTAAGAATACTGAGTCCAGGGTAGTTCAAAACTAAGAGAATTCTCCTGACTCCTTTCAGTGGAAAGCTGCTTCAAACCCTAATTATGTCCCTGAGCTGGGCCCAGGAAGAGATGGAGTCCCAAGCTGATTAAGTAGCCCGGACCTCTAGGGGCGAAGTCTCCTGGCTGTGTAGACGATATGCAGTGAGGGGCTCTGAGCCTCTCTGCTACCGGGTGCTCTGCAGGCTGGCTCCCTAGCCCTAGTTCTCTAGGACTCAGTTTCTCAAACTGGGGCTGCTGAACAGAGAACAGCCCAGCCAGAGGAGGACAGGTTAGGGTAAGAAAACTGAAGGGCCTCTTGGGGGGGTCACTTGGAAAGTATGGGGCAGGGCAGGTGGTCTGTGGTGGGCGGGACGCTGGCCTTCCTGCCTGCCACCGTGCCCTGCTCCTTTGGGAAGCAGTGTCCACCATGAGCCATGGCTTTGGTGCAGACATTGCTCCCTCACCCCCTATTGCTCTTCCTGGGGAGCATCCAGTTCAGGGCTTAGGCAGCTCTGCCGGGGGTTGTGGGCTCCCTCCTCCTTAGAGCAGACCCAGGCCAGCTTCCAAGTGCAGAGACAACCTGCTGCCTGCAGGCTCCCCAGTTTGTTTCTCAGGTGTTTTCCAGATTCTCTCAGACTCCTCCTCTTGCTCTCACCCTGTCCTGCCCATCCTCCTATTCTTCTGGCTCACCCATTGGGTCCCTTGCCAAGCTCCCCACCTCCCTCCTGCCTTCCTCAGACTCCCTGCATGACTCACACTTTCCCTGAGCCTTCCCAGGGAAAAAGTTTGACGTTTAGTTCCATAGGCTGCCTGCTGGCCCCTTCTTCCCATGAGATCCAGCTTCTTCAGTTCTGGGCAGGCAAGAACTAGGGGCCAGGCTGTGAGTACAAGGACCTTTGCCCCTCCCACCCCCACCAAGGACCCCCTGTGTTCTGACAAGGAGACTACCTGGTATTATGACAGTCTAGACTTTGGAGAAGGAAACTGGCATTTCCATGTATATGGCTTCTGTGTCTGAGCTCAGGAAACTGAGGCCAGAAAGATGCTATATGTTATCCAAGGACCTAGAAGGGGCTCAGAGCCAAGCTGGGAAGTATCCCACATTCTCCCCAGTGCCCCACACTGGTCCCTGAGCTACAGCTTTGCTAGGATGCCAGGAACCAGATGACCACAACTCTCAGCCATCAGACCCTCAGGTTAAGGACCAGATGGGCGCCCATGTGCAGAAGCAGACCAGTGGCCTCCAAAGCTCAACCAGGAGTGTCACCAGGGTACTTGGCACTGGCTAAAAAGTACACAACTCCTGCACCATGTGAGATCCTGGAGCCCTGAGGCGGGGCAGGGAGATGCCACAGGTGTCAAAAGTTAGTGACACCCACTAGAACACAGTGGTCTGTCTCCACTGTGTTTATCTCCTATTTTACAGAAGGTGCTCATGCCCGGGCTCTCTGAGCAGGGAAGGGTTGGAAAGGCAGCTGCTTGGCAGCTGTCCGAGCATACAGATATGCCGACTGCCTAGCCAGGGCACTTGGCAGAGAACGGCTGCCCCCTGCCTAGCAGTCCCAGCAGCCTCCCTGCCGCGGGATGGGAGTCACGGCATGCTGAAGGGGACTCCCAGGGCGCCCCCATCCGACCTGTGACCCCACCCTGCCCGCGGTGTTCCCGGTACTTCTCCCCAGCACCCAGGCTCCCACCAACCTTACCTCGGGAGGCAGCCAGGAAGAAGGCAAGGAGCACAGGCCCCCAGTGCCGGCTGCCAGCCTCCGGGACTTGGGGGACGCCCATGTCGCCGTCGGGCAGAGGGTCGTCTAGGACAGCCGGGCCTGAGCGGGGGCCCCGGGGTGCGCAGGAGGCACTCCTGGTTCGCAGGGAGAGGACGGGACGCGGCTGGCGGGGAAACCTCCAAACAAGTGAGTGTCGAGCGAGTGAGCGCAGCGGGCGGCCCGAGAGCGGCCCGCTCCGGGGTTCCCACAGCGCCCCCGAGCGGCCATGGAGGGCACTGGCTCCCCAAGGGCCCCGTGGGAGGGGCTTCCTGCTGACTCACACTGGGCTGGCCCTGTAGATCGGGGAGCCAGGCAGTGTCCCAGAGAGTCAACGCCACTTTATTGCCAGTTTAAAGCCTTTTCTATTCTCTTCCATTCCTGTTTGCAGAGGAGTCATATTGTTGCAAAGCCTGAGAAGTATATCTGTGTCTAATTTAGCATGATAAAAAGTCATCATAGATTCTATCAGCCCTCACCCACCAGCAGGGGCTTGTACCCAGCGTTCTCCCACCCAGTAGAGGAATGAATGGATGGATGGATAAACACATGGATGGATGGATGAATGAATGGATGAATGAAATCTGACTTTTGTAAAGAGCTAGCTGAGTTAGAGCAGGCTTGACTGTAGCTTCCAGAGCCCGCAACACCCCCATGCACATGCACACATTCACAGATTCGGCACAGGTGCAGGAGTACACAGCAGGCTTGGCACATCTCTACACTGGGACACACACACGTGTGTATCTGTGCATGTGCACGTGCATCTTCAGATAGTGTGTCTCATGGAAAATCAGGGCTCCTCTCACCCAGGCCATAGCTTCACCTCCTGCCTTGCAGTCTCTCTCACTTCCTGCACGTAGATGTCTGCAGGACTCTCTCACAGCCCCCACCTCTGGTCCTCTGCTCTTGCACTCCCCCCAGCACTGGCACCACTGGTAATGTCTCTCTCCTCTCCTCCCAGTTCTTCTCATCCCCTAGGGCTTAAGTGAAGTCCTTCTTCACAAAGTACCCTGAAATTCCCCTGAGGGTCCTCCTCCAGTCCGCAGCCCTTTTGATTATCACACCAAGCCTGAGGTTTCCAACCAGCTGATCTCCACCTGGGTTTATCTGCCTTCCTGAGCTGGACTATGAGCTTTTGGGGACTAGGGCCTCTCCCTGATGTTTCTGAGTCCCTGGCACAAAACTGGACATAGGGAAGATGTTTAATACACTCTTATCTGAATAGACAAATTGATGAATAAGTGAGTAAGTGATCTCCCAAATAGAAGTGTAGGTGACAGTGGATAGTGCCAGGGGTCAGGGGAGAGGGAGGGCACTACAACTGTACCTAGTTTACCCCAGCCTGGGTAAAGCTTCCAAGGGCTTTGCTGGCCTGTTAGAGATCTTGAGCTCACAGGCGTCACCCAGGCTGAAGGACAGAGGACAGCCAGAGTCCATGTAGGTCAGGAATCAAGGCGGTAAGACTCAGGGGAGCCAGGAATTCTGGGTGACCCGTGGGTGGGCTGCTCTAAGTCCGAGGCTCTCTGAGAGTTCCCAGCTCTCATTCCTGGGCCACAGAGGAAGAGTGGGCATCATGCTATTACTACGTGAACTTGCACAGGCCCAGGCCTTCTGGAGCCACGGAGCCCCCTGGGAGGGCTGCCCTAGAGATTTCCAGGACATAACCCAGGTCCTTGATCATGATTATGGCACCACTTTGGGAGACAGCCCAGGGCCCTTGCTGCTGGCAGAGTATGAGTTCTTCCACCCAGGGAAGCTACAAAGCCAACTGAAACCAGGTGGGTGCTGGGCCCTTTCCCCACCTTGGCCATCCTCTGGCAGCGGTGAGGAGGGGTCACTGAAGAGTGAGACTCTGGAGCACCTGCCTTCCCTCTCCCCACCCCTGCCTGGCCTTGCCCAGGCCACCCTTGAAACCAGACTCTCTGCCCCAGGGCCTAGAAGGTAAGTGCAGAAAGCCTTGGATAAGGGGAGGGGAGCAACTGCCTCACCGCCCCCTTCCCCAGAGGGCGAGAACACCTGACCTGGGCTCAGTCTCCCTCCCCTCCCCACCACATTGTCCCCAACTCAGCCTCCTGAGTTCGCATCAGGGTGAGACACAGAGGCATTGCCCAAGGTGTGGGCATGGTCCAGAAACCTCAAGAACTCTTTCTTCAGTGCCAGGGCAGGAAGGGCTTGACTGAGAGGGCCTTTGGGGTGCTGACTTCCTCCTCACTCCAGAGGGCAGGGGAAGTCAGACCCACCTTTGCCTCCCAAGCTAGGCCTGGTCTTGGAGACAGGGGGCTCTATTAGAGCCCTTCCCCCCACCCCTCTCAGCCCCCGCAGCCTGCACGATGGTGAGAACCACTTCCAGGAGTCTAGGGAAGTGGGAAATGTCAGCACCCCCACCATGTCAGCGGGTCTGGAATCTGGCCTCCTTCCTGTAGGGCGGTGCTCGTGTGCTCTTACTGGCAGAAGGGGGCTCAGGAGGACGCCATGCTGAGCTCCTCCTCCGTAGTGAGTGCTCTTAGCTGCATCCAGGACCATGAAGAGCCACAAGATGCACACAGTGGCCTTCCTTGACAGTCATCTGTACTCAGATATTTGGAGACCCCACCACTGTTTTTAATGAAAACCAATACAAACACGTTATAGAGAAGACTGTGGAATTTATCTGAGCTTTCAAAGATAATGAGAGGTCTCAAAGATCTTACATTCTTGAGACAAACACTTCAGGCTTTTCCCCAACTCAGTGCAAGTTCCTGCTCCACTCCAGTGGGGAAGTCTGAGAAATGTTAAAATAATACATTTTCCCACTCTGTGTGCTTATTGTCATAAATATTCGTTGAGACTCTAAGACCCAAAGGAATAGCTTCCTATTGAAGAGATTTAGACTAATGATAACAGACCAGAACCTCGGGATGCCTGAGCCAGAAAGGATGTTAAAGAACAAGTCAGGTCCTTTATTAACAAAGTCCAGAGAAGAGATGTGACATGACCAAGGTCACAGAGCCTCAACTCAAGGCTGCCAACCCTACCAGCTTTGGAAACAGTTCCAACAACTACCTAACACGCCCGCCCCCCCAACCAGAGCTGCAGCTCCGGGGACTCATGGCCTCCACAGGGGCAGTGACAGTCTTCTGCAGTTAGGTCTCCTGTCCTTCTGTCCATCCTCCCACAGGTGGTTCCAGAGCCAGCCAGTGCCAAGCAAAAGGTGCACACAATTTGTCTACATCCAGCTTTTTGCACTACCTGCTTTCTGTTCCCTGCCCTTGGCAATGGCCTGGTCACATTCTCTCTACCCAGACGTCTTCGCAGTTGTTGTAACCTTATTATTTTATATTAGTCACTAATTATAGTTTGTATGAGTCAAGGTCCTGACAGGAAACAGATGGCACACTCAGAAAGGGTTCAGCTGAAGAGAGTTTAATGGGAGATCATTTACAGAGAGCTAGTGAGGCACCCGTAGATCAACAACCACAGGAAGCCATTACCCGCCCAGGGGTGCAGAAGGACAAGAAGAGGAGGTGAGGCACCTGGAGCCCGTTGAGGGCTAGACCCTGAAAGAGGGGCCACGCAGCACAGGAAACACAGCTGCTGGCAGAACTGCAGAGAGGAAAGGAGGGAGTATGAGTGAAGTACCCTCCTCTCCTGTCTTCTGCTGGGACCTTCCATTGGCCAAACCGTCTGAAAGCCAGATGTCAAGGGAGCCTAGGTGAGGCAGTCCACAGGGGATATCCTCCCAGGCACAGAAGCAGAGAAGGGAGGAGGGCAGCAGGGGGACAGAGAATGCCAGCACATGGCTAATTTCCTTCTTCCATTTATCTACTCTGCTTTTGAAGTGCCACATCAACCATTTCTCAGTGGTTCTTGAGTGCTACTTGCTGAGTTCCGATTGGCTAAGTTTTACCTGTGGTCTGATTGGACCAAATCAGCCAAAAATGGCCACTGACAGGAGAACATGGTGCACAAACTGTTCTTGCAGTGAAGTCATGTGCTGAGAGCTTTACTTTTCACAGTTCAACAAATTATGCCCATGTAATTGCCTCAAACCCAGTGGGCATAATTTATAATCCTCTCAAAAATGCTGAAAATGGGTATTTCTTTCACTTACATGAATAATGGGTAAAGCTTGAATGCGTAGACTGAGTACATCACATTCTTGCCTTTTGTGATCTAGAAGGAGGCCCAGTGTCAGGAAGACCCAGGCCCAGTCAAAGCTATGGGCTGGAGGTAGTTACTGGGGTTCATCTCATATACCAATTTTAATCACTAGATCAGCATGCTGACAGGAATCCTGGGATTGCATCTGGCCCCAGCAGTGCCATGATTGATTAGTGATGTCTGCCATGGGCATGGACAGAAGGGTGGTGGTGCAAGTGCTAACTTGGACCTAAAGCAGTTACCTAGCTTGGCTTTCGGTGGAGCCTCTGTGATTTCTTCCTCTATCAGCCTGGGACTTCCCTCACTCTCATCCTTCTCCCTTTCCCTCACTCTATTGAATCCCACTGAGTAAGTTCAGCCTAGGAGAACATCCAGCTGGGTCCACCTCAAATCCTCCAGCCAGCTGACCACAGAACCTGACCTTACTCTTTTCCACAGGCTACCACCTACGTGTACGTGACCATCATGGACGAGAATGATAACACACCTGTATTCCAGCAGCCCCACTACGAGATCTTACTGGATGAGGGCCCAGACACAATCAACGCCAGCCTGGTCACCATCCAGGCGCTAGACCTGGATGAGGGGCCCAATGGCACCGTTACTTACACCATCGTTGCAGGCAACATCATCGACACCTTTCATATCAACAGGCACACGGTCAGCAGCTGGTAGCAGGGTCCAGGAGGAGGATCAGCTGGCTAAAGGGATTAGAGGGGAGCTCAGTGACATCATGGGGTTGAGGACAGAGCAAAGATGGAGTCTGGGAGGAAACCAACGGGGCAGCGCATGCAGGAGTATGAAAAGCATGGGTGGGGCCTGGTTTAGAGGACAGCAGCATTCCCTATCATGGCCAGGATGTCAGGGCGTACCTCCTGGGGTGGTCAGAGGGTACCTCATGAAGGAGCTGGTCCCTAGGGCGGCCCAGACCCACCACCCACTGATCCACCCTTGTCCCTCTCCGTATCCCACAGGGCGTCATCCGTGCTGCCAAG